TTGATCGGCTGCCGCAAAAATCGTGATATTCTTTTGCCACTGATTGTTAAATATTTGTAATTGTTTTTGTTTTCCTATTAATAGATAACGATGGACCACCTAGTAATTAAGATAAATCCCAAATATTACAGTTTAATCGGTAGTAAGTAAGTATTGCTACAACAACAACAAGGCAATTAAAAATATTTCATTCGACACAATACAAATGTTTTTCAATAACATGTAAAAAATATTATGACGCATGAATTTTATTGAAACCATATTATTTCACAAATCCTATTTGACACCAAATTGCAGTTAGAGACATTAATTAGGAAACGGTTTTCAAATTATATTTTATCACTGGAATTTTGATTATTGTTACAACAACTTAAAAAAAAACATGATTTAGTATAATTTAGAGAGCATAATATTATTATTACACAATATTATGTATGAATTTTGATCAGAATGCACGTTTTGAGCCAATTAATAACAAAAAATACCGTCCGAGGAAATAATGAAACAATACAAAATATAGCTTTTTTTTTGGACGACACAGCGATTAGAAAAAAAAATCAAAAGTAGTTTATATGAACTTTACCTGATTTTAGATGATCCAAAAAGCAAGAGAGACAGAGAATGGTGTTTACTGGTGCGAAGCTGTCGATGAACAAAATAGTATATACACTATACCTATTGTGTGTGACCGCAGATTTGTAAAAAAAAAAAAACCACAATTTTCCCAGTAAAGTACAACCCCCATCCTCGCGCACCCCTGTCTTGATTACAATCAATTATTAAGTCATTAAAAACCGTTACCCTCATTGTGGCTGATGGACATTAATGCAAAGCGCGTTTTGTTATTGTTATTTCATAATAATAGTAATTATTATTTATATATTTTAATGGAGTCGGTTGTTGTATAAAAATATCGTTTGAAATTAACGTTAGAGCCCGATCAATTGAGACATCACAATATTATTGGCCGGTCGGGCCCGCATGATTTTAGACTTTTCAAGAAATTTGATATGTACACCATTTAAAGGGAAGAGGGCCAAAAGAGGGTGCAATATTATATTTTTTCAAGTTATGATGTAGTTGATTCAAAACTCTCTGTAAAAGGCAAACAAATATTTTATTCTATCTTAAAGATTGAATAAGGCTCGCGACAAGGGTAGACAAGCAGGCTCGTACTGGCAAAGTATCTAATAATAATTCTCTATTGTGGCTGTTTAACGCTGTACACCAAAGTATATAGTAAGTACGTTTAAGTACAGTGTTTCTTCGCCACGCCGTGGTCGTGTTAAGTTTTATGTCGTTGAACAGATGTGCGAGAATCGCAATTTATGCGGGATTTGTCTCACGCCATTCTGTTAGTGCGGTTTTGGAGGGGAAAAGATATATAGAGTTCCCTTTTTATTTTATTTGGTCTTTCGCTTAAAATAAAAATACATTATCAAGTTTAAGCACGAATTTTTGTTTTTAATTTACCAGCAATATAAATAATACGATGCAGCTAAGGTTATTGCACAATGCGTTTTTCAGTCTTCCTGTACTACTGATCAGTGTATAGAAATTGGCCAACAAGTTAAATAATAATTAATAACGAATGGTTCACCGTTGCAAATTTGCACCTACAATATAATATGTTACAACTGCTCTATGTTTTGCTACAAAATTCGGGTAATTAATCTTTCAAATATTAAAACGTGAATTAATCAGTTATATGCGGTAGTATGTTAAAAATGTGTATCCAGTTGTATTACTACTATACAACTACTACATACATAGTTATAATATATTGGTAATAATTCAATCACAGGTTGTGAATTTTAAATTACAAAAAAATTAACCAATATCTGGTGGTACGAGCTTTTGTTTGTAATAAAGTAAAATGAGATATGTGTTTTTAAATAGCTAATGCTAGACCGTGTAAAATAAACAGCGTTTGAAAATAACACATAGTGTATGTACGTTAAATTAAAATTAGACAAACTCCAAATAGTAAATAAAATGTATCCTCAAATTAAATTCAACCGTCAAAAATGTCATAATTTAAGTAATAATAAATATTGTCTAATGCTCTATTTTTACCTATTTGATAATTATTAAACCCATTGTTCCAACTAACCTAACTTGAACTAACTTGATCTTATATATTTTGCGCGCATAGTTTTCGAGATACTTTACAAGTAATCGATTTGAAAAGTTCAGAACTACCTCTATTGTTACTATCCATCAATAATAACATTAATATTACGATTACACGAAGGATTGACGGATTATGAAAACATCAGCGCCACATTAATTACTATTGTGGATGGATTAGATAATTTTGAAAAATACAGACGGAGCAATAATTAATAGGTATCTGTCTCCTGACACGATTAGCTATCGGTAGACATTTTTTTTTATTGCTATAATACCGAGATAACATAATAACATTTGTTCCATAACGATTAACCGCGTCCAATCGGTTAGAGACTCTAAATGAATATAATATAAATAAAATGTCGCTTGTCGTGTAGTGCGTTATGCTTTTCGAGTCTCATAATGTGTACTATACACACCATTATTGTTTTTACATTACACGAGGAAATAATATACACGGTATTCGGTCGTGACGAACACCAGAGGATCGGCCACGTCTCGTTAGCGAGGTTCCCCGACAATATACGTCTTGTGACAGCCGAGCAACACATGGCCCCAGAAGCCAGTATGTTAAGATTATTTTCCACTAGAGCCATAAGAGTGTGTGGTGTTTTTTTCCTGTCTGTTGTTGTCGAGCCGCTATAGAATAGAACCGTTGTTTTCCCCCTACCAAAAATATATCCTTAAATAGATCCAAAAACACCAATTGAAGCGGCTATCAAAGTATTATACAAAGTTGCGAAAGTTACCGGCGGTTGCGCCGGGTCGGTATCCCCATGAGACTTCTGAAACGTCCACAGGTTTTTATTTTGTAAAATATGCGTTCTCGCATGACGACTCAAATGGGACCTTTCTGTCCGCCAAAAAAGTTAAAGCATCATAAATTACGATACACAGAATTTGAAGGTTTAAAAGTTATTTTCGGTACCTATGTTTTGTCCAGGTCTAATAGATATTTGTCATTGTTAATATATTTGATATCCTACTAAAACAACAATGTCAAAATATCTGAACATTATTATAAGACGTTGGTATTTTTCAATGCGAAAATGTATTGAGTTGAAATATAATGTAGTGTTCAAAAATTAAATAACACCATTCACGATAAACTATAAACCTTATGAAATATGATTTTATTGTTGTTAGAGGCATGTGCACACGATTGTGGAAAAAAATAATTAATATCGATTAACCTATTGTTTATTGTTTTTTTTTTTTATTTAAGTCATTAATTTATAATATGATTTATTTAGGAGAAAGGGGGGGGGATTTCTGTAGTTACAGAAACACGGTATGATTCAGAGCAATATGGATATTTTTGCCTTTATCTCCCCGGGGTCAAATGTGTGTATTCATAGTAAAAAAAATATGATATATACTTTATTAATAACTGCGCGTGCGACGGGTTTGCTCCAGAGTATTATATACATATATAACGCGTTATATTGGCATTGGAAAAATTTATAGGAAATTTCCTTCCTACAGTATATATGCCTTCAGTTTCCAGGCGGCTGGACGCGTGCAATTTTGGATACGAGGAGGCGTCATGTTCGCTTTTTGTAGTTTTTTTTTGATAAACAGCTAACACGCGTCAGTGGACATCCGGTTGGACGTTTGCCCGTGATACACATATTACATATTATTATTATTATTATTATCAATGTACATATAACCCCGTCAAGCGTGTAAGGACAATATCGACGCATGTTCTATAACATGGGATTTATTTGTATTTAATATTATTTATTATAGCACCACCCCCCCCCCCCAGCTTTGGTCTCGTATCGATAATATGGTGGAAAAACGGAACTAAAAGCAGTAAATTTTCAATCTGCCCAATGCACCACCGCTTGTATATAACAATATATAATACACACTTGCCGAGCGCGCTATATCGCCAATGTTTAAATCGGCTGCGTCGAAATGTCGTTTATGATGTAGTAATATGTACTATACGCTTTAATGTACATACATAACGTTATTAAAAATAATAGGTACGATATGCGCGTTTGAAAGAGACAGGTTCGGTTAGCTGATTAAAAAATACACACATTATAATACTGTGTACTATATTGTTTTGTTTGTTGGGGCGCACGCATGCGATTCAAACGTTTCCTGAACCCTAAATTATTGCTCCTATGCCTGCTACTGTATAGACCGGTAATTTATTTGAAAGTCGGATGTGTGATCTATTTGTATGTATTATGTCCCATTTAACACCTGTAACTGAATTGTGTGACGTTACAAATCCACAAAAATATAGAAAAATATTTCAACTGCGTTGAAATTCAGACTAGACCAAACTAAAATCCAAACCAAATTGAACAAATGTGATTCGAAGTTGTGTGAAACAATCACAGTGTAGTAACGAACGCACAATTCTAATTGTTGGGGTTTTCCATTCTTAGACCAAGTTCACCCACAGCTGTGTTACCATATATACTACCTGTACTGTCAACAATGGCAAATTTTTATAGTTGAAATAATTTAAATTAACATAACCATTCTGAGAGAAGAGTCTAAGTTTTTATCCAATTTATTGGCTATTGTAATATTAACATTGGGTAGACAACATTGAAATATGAGAAGCACAACACCAACTACCAATTATTAGGACCATGTATTATAAGCATAAAACCAGCATGTACTGTGTATTATAGCATCTTTTAATCTGTTCCAAAAGAGAATAATAAACGCAAATGAAACTCGTTACTTTTGGCTGCGCTGGCTACTACGTTTTTTTTAATTTGAATACTTTAAAGTGTCCTTTAGGTTTTTCAAATATATTTACACCTTCTAGATGACAATAATATTATAAACAGTATAATAAGTACTGGATATTCGGGTGATTTATCATCTAAACTCACCAAAATCAACAAAACGGGGACCGGATGCGGAATGATAATAGCGGACGAATGTACGATTACACAGTTGCAGACTTGCAGAACGTATATTCTTACCTGTAACAAAACGAATAAAAAGGTTATTAAACGTACATCAGAATTTATAAACACACACACACATATATATGGTTTATGAGCTTTTAATTAAAATTATAAAAAAAAACAAAGTACGTGACTGGCAACACGTATCGTGAGCAGCACTAATCGCTAAAAAGGTTAAAGTAAAACCGCAATAAATTAACTATTGGCGAAATAACAATATACAAGAAGAATTTGATATAGGCATATACATATATATATATATGTATAAAATAATAATTTATTGGCGAACCGTTATTATATCGACGCACGTTATCAGTTGGTTGAAAATATGAAATAAAATAATAATTGTTTTTTTTTTTTGCAACAATATAAAACCGCAACACCCTTCCACGTGGTTTTTTATGCATTGTACTACTGTTGAATGTTATATATATACTAGTATATAAATATATATTTTTCTCCCCTTAACAAAAAAAAAAAACAATTATTAATATAATATCATTATCATGACAATAATATAGGCGCACGTCGACTACCGGTGGGCGAATGTGACAACGATTTATCATATTATATACCATCGGGGCACGTGGATAAAATATAATTTATAGAAATATATATTAAATTATCTACACCAATCGATGGACAAGGTTAAACGATAATGATATATTGAATAAATGCAACAACCCCCCTCCCCGGAAAGGGTTGTGTACAGGGTGTTCAATAAGTTTAGAAACTCGCATATTACAGTGTAATCGGTAAACGTATAGTTCGACCTATAGGCAACCGAATTAAAGTGGGCTTGATATTTTTAACCAAAAATACTACTATTAATCGGTCAAAGTAGACTACAAATCTTTCAGTAATTTCCAAAAAAAAAATAATGGAGAACATCAATTGGATACACAAGTTTACAGTTTGATGCGAATTTTGGATGCAGTGCGTTTTTTTCTCGCACGAATTAACAACAATCCGTTTTGTGGGCACTCAGGCGGTAATAAATATTATAATAAATTAATATACCATATTATATTATAATGTAATCGGTTAGTTTATAGTCTATAGTCTAATATAATCTATTTTTAAATGCATTCTTTCGATAATTGTATATTGTATTTAAATTCGGTAATTTAATTAAAATCCGTTGTTAAATATGATTAATTATTATCGATAACGCGATAAATTGTTTTTTATTCGTTAATGATTCAAGTTCAATAATTATAAGTTATTATGAGTAATATATATATATATATATTTGAAATCGGAATGGCAAATATGTCATCGCGATAAGGTTCGGTTATAGTTTCTCACTAATTAACGCCTGTAAACCGTGTAACGCCACAGCAACCGCAGTAGTTAATACAATTATATTATAATTTCCTTAATACCGGTAATATATATTAGCCTCTGCTTATGATTAATATTATCAGCTCGGTATAGGTTCGGCCATCCATCTCCTCTACACCACGTTGCAATGTACGTTTGGTAAAACATGACGTGTTTACCCATGATCACACGCGTCTAATATCTATTATGTATAACCTTATATATGTATATTAAACATCCTGAATGACTTTAGCCGTTTTTTTTTTTTTAATTTCCAATGCCAGAGTTCAATCACATTTTATAACAGACATTTTTTTTTTGGTATCAAGGGTTAGAAAACGTAATCTATCGCAAATGAAAAACCACGTCAAGATGTACTCGAGACTTGATCAAGCACCTAACCGAGTGGGCCCCGTCCCTTAACCCTTTCAATTTTCATTTCCATACCGAACTCGCGCGCACGTCGACGTTTAATTTAACGCGACAAGGTTATATTATTGAATCGAGTGTTTTCTCTAACCTCTACCCTCTCTATTGCCGCCCCTCGCCTGACAAAAGTCAACCTTTATGCGCGGAACGGGGTGGCGAGCACACGGGGTGGCGACGACGGCAAACATACAACAACGGCGGGCTCTCGCTCACCACACACATAATATAATATATACACACAAAGCCCTTTTTGTTCAGACCTAAACCCTCTCTACGGAGCGGGTCGTCGCGTGGGCGCATGGCGGCCAGACACCCTGCCGAGCCCCGAAAGCTCGTTAATAACGCACCTATCACCGCCGAGGCGACTCCACACTGTGCACACTGTATTCCACGCGAGTGTGTAAAATATATATACTTGTATTATTATACATATATACAGGGCGGGCGCCTACACTTCTTCTTCTATGTTGTGCGACCGACAAAGACAACACACACGCGTGATTTAACCGCAACCGCACGAGGGAGAGACTTGTCTGTCGACGGATCGGTGAAAATAACATTATTACTTACGGTGCTGCTATGAAAAAAAAAACAAAACAAAACGAATGCAATTATATTGCAAAGTGTAAGTACAAGAAGTCGGAGAGAGAGAGAGACGGTGAAAAGCTGCGCGTGCTCTGAAATTAATTGCCATCCGACTTGCCGGGTCGTTAAACAAATAATAATTATTATTTTATACAATAATAATTTATCATATAATATTATTGTACTCTTGGAATATATACATATATATATTAACTCGAGAACTTGCAACGACATGATTTTATTCACACAATCTCACACGGCAATAATATTTTAAAAAAATGTATTTCAATATTATTTTTCAACTCACAATTGAAACAATGATATCATAATTTCGCAGCAAATAAAATATTAGTAGATAACATTAATGTTGGAATAATTTTTTCGAAGTATAAGAAATTAATAATTATACACATAGAATACATTACAATAATTGAAAATGTCTATGAGAGGTGGTAATATATTATTTGTATTTAACACAAATCAACTGGCGAGTCTCGATTTGCCGACACAATGTATATTGTCCGCCATTTTCAGTATTTCAAAGAAACAATAACATAGTGGTACACTATGGTAGAATGATTTTATTTTAATTCATTCAATCAAGTCCGATATTTAACAACAATAAATGCATTACACCGAAAAATGGCCGTTACAAGCCGAAAATTTATTTCATACATATTTTTTGAAAGTAATCTGGAAAAAAATAACGGAAAGCTACTAAAGTTCTGCGTGAAAAATTAAAAAATAAATCACAAAACCCTATTACTTAAATCTAACCTAACCGTTTTGACAACGCGTTTTGTCCATTAACTAATGAGAATACATACACCACCCGCACGTCCAGTACACTTTAAAAACCATGCCGTTATGTGTAATTTCTAATATACAGTGCGTCGCAAAAGTCCTATGGCACTCAAAGTGAATTGAATTCTGACAAAAAACGTTACTTTTAAAACAATTATCTTGTGTCTAGAAATTTAGCCAGCCGATCGGATTGTTTTTTTTTTTTGTAATTATAAATATTAAGCGTTAGAACAAACACTTAAACTTGTTTTACTTATAAAATATTATTTTTTAACGACAGCGCACCACCATGGTGAACCGTTCAAAGGGGGGGGGGAAACTTCCCGGAGGAAGGAAAAATTATACTCGGTGACGAAAATGGATTTTCTTTTCTGTACTTGTTTGCCAATAGAATACTACCGTTAAAAAGTAATACTTCTCCGGAATTCTCAAAAAAAAAAAACCTCTCTCGTATTGTAGTCGTTCGAAAAAGATTTATCGCCTCGACCTAAGTAGTAAATAGTTGCATTGTTGTCGTCCGTGTTGGCAACGCCTTCTACATTTTGCATGTTGTATCCCATTCAGGTATCCACGGGAATATCCGTCATATATCATATAGGGGAAGTGCTTTTTTTTTTGTCCAGTGATAGTAAAGTAGCCAAAAGTACCAAATAATATGAATATCTTACAGCAAAGTTCTCTACAATAGTATTCACTAGAGATATAGAAGGTCGTTGAATAGACTGAGTATTTCATGAAAAGAATTTTCAAAGAAAATCGAAAACACCACTTGTTATTTGAGTCACGTTCTGTTTTAATTATTAAGGGGCGGGCAAGACTTAGCCGAATTAAAAATGCCAAGATATGCGCTTCCGCGTCGCGGTACTTGACGGGTAATTAAGTATTTTTGATCTTATATAAAAGGTATGCCGTTTATCGCTTTAATAGAAAAATCGAACAATTTACTAAAACCCATCACACGGTAGTACTAATAGAAAAACTATCTTATCAAGTCAGGTGTACATCCACTTGCCCAAGTGTAAAGGATATATTTTAAAAGAACTTAAAAACGTTTCTAAAATCTTTTATTGTCAACACATTATCCTGGGCGTTATACTTAAGCTTGAAAACAATGGCGGTGAGATTGGTTTTATTGGACTTGAGGATTGAGGTACAGCTTTTGAAGTTATCCAGTAATATACCTGTATCGATTATCTATGAAAGAGGATTTATAAAACTTTCAGGAAATTAAAAATAACTGTTTTTCACATACGATTTTACTTGAAAAACTGTATAAACAATTGTTTTTTATTCTTATGGAAATTTGTGAACACCAATTTTTCAAATTTATTTTTTAATCAACAGTAAGAGTTTTAATTAAACTTAGTTACTTGGCTCCTTTTATAAATAAAATTACTAAATCATAAACGGGATTGTTTGCAATTGAGTGATGTAAACCAAAACTACTTTACCGATATAATATGTTACTATGACTTTTAAAATACATAAATCATTAATAGGGCATTTTTTTTCTGAATTAAACTTAAATAAAATTTTGAATCGCCATAAAAAAAAATGAACATCATACGAATTTAACTCCTTTCAAAAGTAAACGATTCGCCTATACCATACTTGCGCTTGGAGACTGGAGTGAGAAAAACCGGTTTTTCCTAAATCTGACGATTGAGCTATCATCGCAGCGTTACAGTGAAATGTATTACCCTAGTTGTATTGCGTTTAAAAATATAAAACCGCGACTAATCGAACACGGACCGTAATTTATGCATATCATTATTATTTCTACTATACCTACAACACACACCTATATCATATACAAGGGTAATGAAGGGGTTGTATACGCATGTTATTATTATACCGTTGATAAGTAGCGCGTT